CTGGAGCAGGGTGGATGAAATAAAGGCATGTATCCACTGTCTTATATGATAAAAATATATCACTAAGACTTAAAGGTTTAGTTTTATAGAGTAGTTGTTAGACCAACTTTATTGTATGGGGAAAAATATTGGCCAGTCAAGAACTCATACCTTCAGAAGATGTCAGTAGCGGGTGAGGATGCTTATATGAATGTTTGGGCATACTGAGAGAGATAAGATTAGGAACGAAGATATATGGGGCAAGATGGTTGTGGCCTCCGTGATAAACAAGATACGGGAAGCGAGGCTTAGATGGTTCAGGCATGTTAAGAGCAGGATTATAGATGCCCCAGTGAACAGGTGCAAGAGGTTGGCAGCGATCGGTCTAAGGAGAGACATAGGTAAACCAAGGAAGAATTGGGGAAAAGTGATTAGACATGACATGGCACATCTTCAGCTCACGGAGGACATGACCCTAGACAGGAGAGCATGGACTTCAAGGATTAGGCAATAAGGTTAGTAGGTAATCGAACGATTCCTCGCTTTTTGTGGGAGAGCATGTATGTAGTTTAGATCACCTTATCTACTCCATGTTACATGTTCTCCTTGTCAGTATTACTATTATTATTATCTTATTCTATAGTTTTATTACCATTGTTATTCTTTTTATTTTGGTTATCTTTACTATTTTGCTATCAATACTTTTTTTTCTTCAGTATTTTCATCATAACTTTTTTACTGTTGTATTTCTCAAACTTGTTCTGAAAATACTTTTCTTGAGCCCGAGATCTATCGGAAACAACATGTCTAACACATACAAGGTTGGGGATAAGGTTCGCATACACCTTACCCTCTCAAGACCCTACTTGTGGGATCACACTGGGTATGTTGTAGTTTACTTCATCCAAACCAGCTGTATTAATGGAAGCAGAAGTGTGATGTGTTAAAGCACAACCCCAGCTAGGAAATATTAAGTCAACAAGTTTTTAGCTTGAAAGTAATGAATAAATTGCGCTGAATTCGTATATTTTCTAATATTATGAAGACCTTGGTTCCTCTCTTCAGAAAATTGCTTCTACATTTTGAAGTTGCAATGCACCACATACTGAAGGTTTTGATACGTTTCTCTTCAAAACATTCCAGTTCATAAATATTCATCTTCTTCTTGACATCCAAACTAAAGGCACTACTTCTAATGAACATCAAAATCTTCATGCTTAACAAATCAAGTAACATCTCTAGTTCAAAAGAATCAAATATCCAATAGATATTTATTTCAGATAATCTTACAGCAGATCCCTTTCATTCCAACTCCAACTTCATAACCACCAGAGAGAAATGTGGATCAATTGGGCAGAAGCAACCTGTGAGAAAAATAAAAGATGGTCTAAATGTTTACAACATAGAATTATAATGATCATATAGGACAATTTGGGAATCAAAGAATTATGTTAAGCTAAACAAACCCCATGGATTTGCAATTATAAATCATGAAGCAGAGAGAAGAGGATCCATTCTGAATCCGTTAATGCCAAAGCTTCAGACAAAAGCCTCCAGGAACTACAGAGGATCTCTTGCTTGAGATAACATCAGAGAAAGTATCCACCAGCTGCCCAGCAAGCGATGCTGGATCTTCGATAAGGTTATCAACGAATGCCTTTACAATCCTAACATCTTGTGGTGTA